CTACAACTGAATGTAATTTTTCAACGTGTACTTCTATTGTTTTTATGATTCTCTACTTTGACTAATCATCAAACAGGAATAAGAGATTTCGATTCACACGATCTAATCCATTTGAGCAAAATATTTCAAGTAAGCACATCTAGTCAAAAAGTGAGCTTTCAGTGAAACTTCCCAGTTTTCTGAAAATGACTGTATCAGTTTAGCTTATATGAGTCATTATTAATGCTAGACCACTTCAATTTACAGTTCACGTTTGCATATGCGTTGATCTTACAAGCAGTGCTCTTAGTACGAGTCGATTTGACATCGAAGAGAGTTGAGATACAAGAACGATGGTGTACTTTGAGATTTGAAACAAACAGATAGGTGGATTGAAATAAAAGAATATGCGGCGAATTGACAGTCAAATGCATAAACACATTTGCTACCAAGAAACGCAGCAGCATCTGATTCAATCTGTTTCCATGAGCAACGTGCAATCTGAAAGCGATAAAAATAATGCTTTAGAAAAGCGTTTGTTGATTGCTATCTGATGCAATCAGTATCGTCATATCCATCCATTCTTCTCGGTGCGAACCCTCATTTAGAATATTACATTTCGGTTTCATCTACTGATGCTAAACGAAACAAAATTATGTCAAAATTGCTTTAAGATAACATTCATTTGCGCATTCATATTCACTGCCGTCTCGTTTGCATATCAATAAGAGCTTTAATTACGGGTCAACTACGATCAAATCTTGTATCAGCTGATCGATCAAACATTTCAGATGGCCACTCTGCAAGGGAGTGTCTATGACACAGACGCCCTCGATATTCCCCCTCCCATCACTAGCCCATCTGTTTCTCCGGCTGCTCTCGAATCTGAGGTGGCTCTTTTGTCAGTTAAATAAGCCACTGTTATTATTAGCATATAAATTGTAATGATTCAGGATTTTGAAGATGGTAAAAATAAGAAGAATCCACAATTAGGGGAGGTTGGTAAAGGGAACGCATTCTTGAATGGCATCAAAGGTTGGTCACATTCAATTCATCAGATTAAAATTGGTACCAATAAAAACACTAACAATAGTTCTTAATATGATGAAATGCGTAATATTAAAAACGATTTCAGGCTTATGGATAACACGTCAAGGACTCGATAAAGATCGAGTACAGTTGCTGAAGGTGACCATTCGAGAGTTGATCACCTACATCATCTTTCTGACCATCGTTTCGATCGGTAGAACTTATCATATCAGACCTATCATATCTCCCTGTCCACTTCAACAATAACACTTGTCATATTCGAGTAATCAGCTTTCATAAAACGCTTTCAGTGGCATTTTCATATTCTTCAGTAACGATGTACTATTATAAAACAGCGATATCGAATTTATTCGTGACTGGAACATTGGATCAAATCAATGAAATTGATCAAATATGGAATGTTAGATGTGTTTGTTATTCATTTATCATTTATTCATTTAATTAGATGATTAGATGCAAGAAATATTGATGAAGATGTCATTGTGAACTGTTCGAATCAAAGATGTTTGTTTTCATTATCTGCAAGAACCGCTCCTGAACGCGCTATACTGGCAAGGATCGAGACTGGCCGATGATGCTGAATCGAGCACTGGAATGCTTTTCGAGGACAGTGTACTGCTTGGAAGTCCTCGAATTCGCATGTTGAAAGTGATTTATTGTTTCATTGCATAGTTAATGACATTCCACTGATAGATTTCGATTGATCTTATTGAAGAAATTACATCGATTCCAAGTTATTGTTCACTTCCATACGTCACTTCAAGCGATCGATGAAGAATTTGAAAAGAGAGAATTGGTAACATTTCCCTAAATGCGTCGACTCACTTCTGTATCTAGGAATACTGGGATGGGTAATTTTGAGGAATATCATTGATCAAACGACAGATCGAATTTAGCGACCAAGGCGCCACAGTGAAATCGCTATGTCGTATGATATACCCCCAGATATACCTCTCGAACTGCGCACTTTTCGTCGACAACATATAAACTTTTGTGCTAGAGGTGAATCTCTCATCTCAAAAAATTTTGGAGTTGATGGATAAAGCTTAGAGTACAATAAGATGGAAAATGGTGATGCCGTACACCCATAGTAAGGAGATATCTCTACGAATCCACTCACACTTGATGAAGTGATATACCCAGTTTCGTCCGAGGTCATACTGCAGTAGATAAGAACCTCGTCTGTCGGATAGTCTCAACAAATGATGGTGTTGCTGAGCACAAAGTTTGCCTGAGAACAGTGAATCTGATAGAAACGTCGATGATACCTGATATCTTCAGGTGAATAACCATTCGTGTAAAGTCGCAAGAAGTTTCAAACGTGAGATCCCTGAATGTTTCGGTAAGTATAACGAGGAGAACGACGACAAGAACTCTTTTGGGCCTGCAAATAGCTCAGCGTACGTTTTGGGTTGTTGTTAACAAACCTTAACCTTATCATATCATAGCTATCTTCACTAATTTCAGATTCATTTACCAAACAGCTGAACAGTTAGAAACGGCGAGCTATTGGGGTGCGGTGGCAACGTACGGAGGTGGTGGTTTCGTTCAGTATCTCACAATATCAGATCGAAAACAATCCGCCGCTTCAATATCCTATCTAAAGCAGAATCGATGGATCAATCGAGCCACACGTGCCATTTTCGTCGATTTCGTCCTCTACAATGCAAATATCAATCTGTTTTGCATTGCACAGTTTGTTTTATCATTATTGCAATCGGTTTTAATGCAGTGATCAATACAATCAGCAAGTTTATTATTGTCATAGATTAATACTCGAACTACCAGCGACGGGTGGAGTGATAACAGGCTCGGAGTTGCTTCCGCAGCGTTTCATCAGATATGTCACCACCTATGATTACTTCACATTTGTGTGTCAATTACTATTTATTGTGTTCACAATTTACTACATAATACAAGCGATCATCGAGATATTCAGACTGCATTTGTCTTATTTCAAAAACTTTTGGAATTGCTTCGATATCGCGAACATCATTGTGAGTTGCGTTGTATTCTTCATTTCTCACATAGTACTGGTAACTAATCATGATGAAGCACTGAGAAAATTCCTCAGATCATCACAAGCAGTCCCAACAGTCAACATCACAAGCAGTCCCAACCAAAAACACAAACAGTANATCTACTTAGGAGTAAAACTCTTCTTCAGTACTGAAAGACAATTGCGGCAAGTGGTACCTGTGCCCGCAACTCAACAGTATTATTCAGTCAATTTGAGTCAATTGGCTGAACTGCAGGAGAATTTCAATGATGCGCTGGCTGTGCTGCTTATTTTTGCGTGGATTAAGGTTTTTTTTTTGGTTTTGTTGTCTTCGAGAAGAAATTATTACGAGACAATGTATTGGTGAGTGAATTCATTTAAGACTATGAAATACATTAGTTTCAACAAGACGATGACTCAGCTGACTGCAACTTTGGAGAGATCTGCGAAGGATATCGGTGGATTTTCGGTGATGTTCTTCATCTTCTTTTTGGCTTATGCACAATTCGGATTTCTGGCGTTTGGTACTCAGGTAAGTGAAAACACTTTATTGCTGAATAGATTGCAGAATAAAGATGCATTCATTCATTCGTTTCGTTGAAGATAGCCGAATACTCATCGTTATATAACGCAGTGTTTGCTTTACTGCGAACAATATTGGGTGATTTCGACTTCGATGCGTTGGAGAATGCTGATCGCATATTGGGACCGTTGTTCTTTTTGACTTACGTCTTTTTCGTGTTCTTCATTTTGTTGGTTTGTTTCGATGGCGATTATTGTTCATGTTTTTGAACAAAAGTGTTAAGTGTTAATGATTGAATCTGATTAAGAATATGTTCTTGGCGATTATCAATGATTCGTATACTGAAGTGAAATCTGAACTGAGTAGACAAGCGAATGATATAGAGATGGCCGATATCGCTGTTGGGGTTAGTTGCAATATATTTTATTCTCATTGCATTCACATTGTTATTGTTATTGTTATTATTATGAATGTATATTGCAGTATTGGCAAGGTATTTTGAAAGTGTTCAGATTAAATAAAGACGATACGACCGATGTGAATGACTGCGATAGATTTCGCGAAGCTTTGATTGCGTACGTTTATTCGAGTGAAATTGAAAGATTTGTTCTTTTCTCATTGTTTTATCACAATTCTCATATGGCAAACTAATGAAGAAGATGCGTTTCAGCGAGGGTTACAATGAAGATGATATCACGAATGCGTTTGTCAAGTTCGATATTACAAATCGTAGATTGGAATTTGAAGAGATGCAAATGGTTGAGAACGAACTGAATGCTAAGCGGAATAATAATGCATCAGTGTTGTCGTCATCAGCACAAAACAAGAACACTCGCGATATATCGGTGTTGAACTACCGAATCAACCACATCGAACGTTCGATATTCTGGATTTGTGAACGTATCGACATACTCGTTAACAACATTCATAACATCGATAAGAACACCACTCAGAATGATTTATTCATCAATATACTTCGTGCTGAGGTGTTTTATCATTTATGCTTAAGTTCATGGTTCATCAATAGAAACCGTTGAATTACGAGACAAGATATGAGACGCACGCTGTTCATCTCGAATACCTCCATAAAAGAT